TCCGACCTAGCTGAAGCACTCCTCAACCAGTTCCTCTTGGGACTACGGGAGCCTAAGCTCTGGAGGAAGCTGGTCAGCCAGAATGACCTGGATCTCGATAAAGCGATCTGGAAGGCCACCGCTTATGAGAAGGCCCACCAAGACCGCTGTGCCAAGGCAGTCCATTGCACATGAGCAACTGTAGGTTCCTATGCCTCAGACGAGGAAGAGGTTCTACAGGTCCGCCATCGATTGTCTCAGAGCCCTCATCAGTCCTCCCAATCGAGCAAGGCATCCTTGGCTCCATCTGCTCAGTGTGCTAGCTGCGGGGAAGAACACAAGCGCCGGTCGTGTCGGTTCAGGAACGCCATCTGAAGAACGTGCAACAAATCAGGGCACATCTCCAGGATCTGCCACTCCAAAGGACAGTGCCCGAAGTCGTCCGCACACCAGACCACGCCGGACCAGCACATCGACCTCCACACCCTCTCGGCCCACCACCAGCAACACCTGGTATGTAACCTGCCCCCCGATAGCCCTAACAAAGTGTATGTAACTGTTCTTATAGAGGGGTCCCCCTGCAGCATGGAGATGGATACGGGGTTGTCGTTTTCCACTGGCCACATGACCACGGAAACGTCTTCGGACAGTGCTGGCTCTTCAGCTTTGAAACGGAGATGAGCACTGCAACCCTAGAGTCGGATTCGGCTGGCTTTCGAGCAAGAGAACCTTTACCTTTACCTTTTTAAAGCCGGTTGAACCCGACTGTTGTGCTCATCTCCGTTTCCAAGCCAAAGAGCCAGCACTGTCAGAAGATGTTTCTGTGGTCATGTGGCTGGCATAACTAAATGACAAGGCGCACGGAACACTGTTACCTTCCCACCAAAGCGGTACCTATTTATCTACTTGCAATTTCTTGCTTTCAAACTGCTAGGTTGGCAGGAGCTGGGGCCAGAGACAGGAGCTCATTCTGTCACACGGCACTAGGGTCTTGAACTGCCAAACTACAGACCTTCCGGTCTGCAGCTCAGCATCTTAACCTCTGAGCCACCGCAGCCCTATTGTATTTGTTACTTTTGCGCAAATTTCCACACAATATCCACACTAGACATAGGAATGTCTATAGAGCAATTAATAAGTAATGACTACAACAATTAACAATACAATGCACAGAAGAGGCAAGTGACAACTCGATAACAGAGAATCTCCAAGTAAAGTTTTGTCTAATACAAAACCAATGGAAGCTTCAACAACAAGTAACCGGATATTCACTTGTTTCATATCTGGTCTTCTTCAGGGTTAATACAGCTTCCCAACAAATCAATCCTTCTTATTTATTCTAATTTGGAATCAATCTCCACATCTTGGCTTCCTAATGGGATTAGCCAATCATCAGTTATTTTTCTGAATGTGCACAGGCCTCCCAAATTCAACATTGTTGGCATCCAGAACATTGTTGGCATCACCCCTCAGCGAATCTTTAAATATTTAATTCTAATTTAATTTTTAATTTAATTTAATTAGCACCCCCGGCACCGCGCTGAAAAAAAATCCAGGCGACGGGGCTGTCCTCCTCCTCCTCCTCCCCAAACCCCACCCTCCTCAGGCTCCATTCCCAAAATCTCCAGGTATTTTCCCAACCCAGAGCTGGTAATGCTATCTATTAACCACTAAAATAAGGTTTACTACATTAAAGTACTGGTTGAAATTAAAATTCATGGACTGTTCCAGGCTCCCCTAAATATGTTTAAAGGAACAATTCTCTTTACTATATAATAATTCTTGGCTGGCTCAGATTCACAGATTGCTAAGGAGATGAAAATCAAGCATCCAGGATTCCACTTGATTTTTTCTTTTGAAGCAGTTCCCAAATTGCCTGTGAGAAAGGAAACCTCAGAGTTAAAGCAAGTGTTTAAGTCGTTCCCGTTTCAGTTGTTCAATTTTAAAGATGTGTCAGAATGACTTGTCCATGTGGTGCAGGGGCAGTTGAAAACCTACTACATGCAATGTTCCCTCTAAGCTGTGGAGGCTTGTGAGCAAAAATTCTACATTGTGAGCTACTGGCATTAAAGCTGTGAGTGAGCAATTTGGCTACTGCGTAAATCAGTTTGCTTTGGAGCCATCCTTCCTGAGCTAAGACAAAAAATGTGTGAGCTGAAGGCTAAAAAACTGAGCTAGCTCACACCAGCTTAGAGGGAACACTGGCATAGACCCCCTGGAAGGCCCCTTCCTTGTGTTGGATCCCCAAGCATCGAGAATAAATCCACGTTTTAAAGAAAAGCAAAATTTATTTCAAAGCGTTGAAGACATACTCAAACACGTTCTTTGTTAGAACTGGGGATACACAGTTAGGTCAAGCATAATAAAGGAACTTCAAACAGATACAGATCCAATGAATATCTTTCCCGCTGGCGGGCTAAGGAAACGGTTGCGCGCCCAGTACATGGGAACCAGGCAGAACATCAGACAAAACACAGGTGCAGTAGTCCTGGGAAAATCAATAGGCAAGCATTACAGCATCTTCTCCCCCACACAACCTCCAGCAGTTATCTTTTGCATTCCAAAGCAGGAGCAGGATGATAGAAGCCAAGCCGGGTGTAACAGGGAAAGGATATGTACACAGAGGTCACAGAAAACAGAATGGCAGCTTGCTGACATACTGCCCCCCTTAAAATACACTTACAACACACCTCCCGGCCTGGGCGGGAGACCTCCCGGGCTGGGCGGGAGACCTCCCGGTTTGTCCGGGAACCTTCTGTGGAAACTACGGATCAGGTAAGGGGCCCGAATATCCCCTTCTTCCACCCATTCGCGGTGCTGGGGACCGAAATCAACCCATTCGATAAGGTACCAGAGTTTACCACGTTTCACTTTACAATCAAGGATATCAGCTATTTCAAAATGTTCATCCCCTTCCAATATGACAGGCGGAGGAGGAGTAGTCTCTGGTCTCCAAGGAGACGGTCCAGGATCCTTCTTCAATAGACTCATGTGAAAGACAGAATGCAAGGCACGTAAATTCTTAGGCAAAACAACATCAACTGCCACATCATTTATGACTTTACGCACTTTGAACGGACCAATGAACTTCCATCCCAATTTTCTGCTAGGCCGCAGCATCTTAATGTTCTTGGTCGAGACATACACAAGATCCCCAGGTTTCAGATCAAACCCCACCACCCTACCCTTGTCTGCCTGGGTCTTGTAAGCAGCCTTGGCTGCGTCAAGTGTTTGGCATAGCAGCGGCCATGCTTTTTGCAAGGACATACACCATGTATCAGCATCCCCCACAGGACGTTGGCCCATCCCCTCCAAGAAAGGGAGGGGGGGACTGTCGTAACCAGATACAGCTTTATAAGGAGACATGCCTGTGGAGCTATGGACCGTATTGTTATAACAATATTCAGCAAGAGGCAATAATTCACACCAATCATTCTGTTGATAATTAGTAAAACAACGCAGGTATTGTTCCAGAGTCTGATTAACCCTTTCCGTTTGTCCGTCAGTTTCGGGATGATACGCGCTGCTGAGCCCTTGTTCGACCCCTAAAATGGAAAGAAGTTCCCTCCAAAATTTAGAAACAAATTGGGTCCCCCTGTCAGAAATTAACTTAGCAGGTAATTGATGAATTTTCACCACGTGGGACATAAACGATTTCGCCAACCTCTGAGCTGTAGGCAAGGAAGGAAAAGGCACAAAATGAGCTTGCTTAGAAAACAAATCAACAACCACCCAAATAACAGTGTTCCCTTTGCTCGCAGGGAGGTCAGTAATAAAATCCATGGACACCACTTCCCATGGTCTCGACGGAGTAGGGAGTGGCTGCAGTAAACCAGGAGGCTTGCCCATCCTGGGTTTAGTTAAGGCACAGGTTTGGCAGGACCTAACAAACATCAAGAGGTCTTTGCGCATTTGTGGCCACCAGAATTGTCTGCGGATGAGTTGCAAAGATTTAACGAAACTCCAATGCCCTGCCAGTTTCGAACCGTGAGCAGACTCCATCACCTCCCTCCTCATCGAAATAGGCACATACAATTTGTCTCCAGAATAAATCAGACCTTCAGGGCTACGGACACAATCAGGTAATGTCTTAAGGGAGGCATCATCCTCAGCAGTAAAAGCAGAAAGATATTTCTGGACCCAGGCCCCCCCTCCCACAGGGAACAGGGAAGGCGAAGTCTCATCAGAGTGTGGAATCGTTCGCGCCTGCGCCCGGGTGACTACGGCCCCCCCCAGATGGGAGGGGGAAAAAACAGAGTCCATGATGATCTCACGCTGACTGTCATGTTGTGGGAGGCGCGAGAGCGCGTCAGCCAGGGAATTAGCCGCCCCCGGGAAATGACGAAGTGTGAATCGAAACTTAGCGAAGAAGTCCGCCCAACGAAGTTGCTTAGCGTTGAGAGAACGGGGGGATTTCAGCATCTCCAGATTCTTATGATCAGTCCAGACTTCAAACGGCAGTTGCGCCCCCTCCAGCCACTGCCTCCAAGTGGAGAGAGCCAGCCGGATCGCTGACGCTTCCTTTTCCCAAATCCCCCAGTTTCGTTCGGCATCAGAAAACTTTTTAGACACAAATGCTAACAGTGCCAATTTAAGCAGAGTTATACCCTTCTGTGCCCAATGATGTCATGGGCTTAGCAGTGTGCAACTCTATTTGGGACTGCATTGTAATTCAGATAATGACCAATGGTGGTTCCCCATTGCACCATAGGTAATGGAGGAATAATGTTGTTGATGAGAAGAAGAGTAGGTTTTTATACCTTTCATTCCTTTACCTTGAGGAATCTCTAAGTGGCCTACAATCACCTTCCCTTCCTTCCCCACAACAGTCACCTTGTGAGGCAAGTGGGGCTGAAAGAGTGAGAGCCCATGGTCACTCAGCAGGCTTTGTGTGGAGAATCAAACCCAGCTCTCTACGCTCATAACAACCATACCACACTGTTCTGTTTATGGTATTTAGACAGTACAAGATAAACTGTTCTCCTTGCTCCCACCACTCTCCCATTTCTCCTTTTATCCAGATGTACGAAGAAATTATGCATGCGCTTGATGAAGCTGCCAAGGATGACTCCACTTTAACTGTTATAACAGGTATTTAGACTCTTGGGAGTTCTGTGAGAAAGTCTGTTAATGGAGGCCAAACCTTTCACAGCATAAAATCTGCCTGGATTTCCTGCAAAACTCAGACTTCAATAATTAAAAAGGGCATGCGTTTCCAGCTTTCACAGTTGTGGAACCATGCTTGTAAATATAAAAGCTAAAAACTCATGAACTATATAGGTTCCTTGGTGGAAAAGGACTGGGCTTTTTAAGACCTTTTCAGATGGTCAAGGGTGCACATTATTCTGAGTTATTCTCCAATACACACAGCCACAATTTTGTGTGAATGGGGCAATGTGTGCATCTTCTATGAACATTCAACTTTGATATGTGTGAACTAGTGTTGCAAGGTCCCTCCTGGGGGGGGGAGTTCCCAGGTGAAAGAGGAAGACCCAGGGGATGTCACCAGCAACATGGTGACATCACTTCTGGTGTGCATAGGAAATGATGTCATCACACTGTGATGTTGCAGCAATGTTCTGGTATATGGGCAAAAACTCAATTGTAAAAATAGCTTCTACTATATAGTTTTTGCCCAAATACCAGAGTGTCGCCTGGATGTCCCTGGCATGATGATGTCACTTCCTGTGCACTCCAGAAGTGACATTGCCACATCACCGGTGGCATCACCTGTGTCTTCCTTTTTCTCCTGGTAAGTGCCCCTGCTGATCAGCAGTGGGGGTAGGGCTGGTGGTGGGGGACCCCTGCCAACACCAGGGGGGCTGGGAATCCTAGTGTGAACAGAACCCCAGATTTTTGAGGGAACATACGGACACATACTGAAGCTGAACATGCATGGAAAATGCACACATTCCTCTATTCACACAAAATGGCAATTACACATAACAAGAGGATCGTGCATAACGTGTGATCTTGTTATGTGTGAATGGAGTGCCAAAATCAAATGTCTGAAAAGGGCTCTAGTCTTTCCTTACAGCTCCTGTACCTAAGAAATCAGGAATAAGATATCAGGTTATAACTCTAGAGTTAGTTAATGGTTATGCACAAGCAAATGTATCTACTCAACATTATCTGTTCCCATATCCCTAGAACTCTATCCAGAGGTATTTGTATTATAGTTCTCACTGTGGTAAATCAGTATGCTGAATTTAAAAATGATTTTTGGATTCTTGTTAATGTGGGTTATTGTCTGTTTTGTTTCCATAGGATGCGGCAGTTACTTCAGTAGTGGGAATGATCTCAAAGATTTTTCTGAAAATGTCGATGAGATAATGAAAGATGATGGAAAGTTGCTGGTGTAAGAAGGAATTTTTAAATACATTCTCAGTATTAATTGCTTGATTTACAGAAAGACACAATCCAGACTGCAATTGCAGTTTATGGCATTGATGTAAATGATCCAGTGAGCTCCTTCAAGGGTCACACATTGGTGGTGGAAAGTGGTGTCAAGTTGCAGCCATATGATGTTGACCCTGTAGGGTTTTTGAGGCAGGAGACTAACAGAGGTGCTTAGCAAGCCTGAACTTCCTTGGTGGTCTCCCATCCAAGTACTAACCATGGCCAGCCCTGCTTAGCTTCCAAGATCTGATGACCTCCGGCTATCCTGGGCCATTCAAGTCATGCAACACACCATACCACACAATATTTTTGAAATTATCTCAGGATCCAAAAGCTGCTTGCCATGTGGTTCCAGACCTAATGTTCATTAAATGAATAAATAAATCCCTAATTTGGGCTGGTCAAGTATCACTGGCTGCATGGAGTTGTGGTGCCAAACTGTTGTTTCATTTTGGTTGGAGAAGTATAGATCCAGCTAAATGTCTTCTTAGAGAGCCATTAAATAAACAGAAATATTACTTTCAAAGGTAGAAATGTCCCGGAATAACATCCTCTTAGTTTTCTGATTTGAGGACAACATCAGCAACTAAGGCTTGGATCCTGTACCTTTGCCCTGTGTCCAAACACTGCAGAGTCAGCCCTCTGCTTCAGAGCTCACTTCCTCTCACATTAGGCACTTCTAGATCAAGATGGGTAGCCATGTCAGTCTGTCTGTAGCAGTAGAAAAGAGTCCTGTAGTACCTTAAAGACTAATAAAATTTGTGGCAGGATAGGAGCTTTTATGAGTCACTGCTCACTTCTTCAGATACAACTAGAATGTGAGTCCATCTGTCCTATATATTGGAAAGTGGATTCCATTAGGTGCTTCTGATTGTGCAATTCCAATATTTTCCAATGAGCCCAAAGAACCTAGTATGGGAGGTTCCACCACAAAGGACTGCATTTGCAGTGCCCAAACAGAAGGGCACACAGAAGCTAGGGTTGCCAGGTGAGGCTGACAAGTGGGCGAGGGACTTACCAGTAGGCTCCGGGAGAGGAGAGGGAGGCTGTGGGAGAGGGAACTCTGAAACAAGCTCTGGGTGAGCTGCCGTTGCATTTAAAGGGACTGTGTTAATTTTAAATGCTTTTTCTCCATCGGAAATAATAGAGGATGGGGGCATTTTCTTTGGGGGCTCACAGAATTGGACACCCTGGTCCAATCGTTTTGAAACTTCAGAGGTCTTTTTAGGAGAGGCACCAGCAGTTATGCTGAAAATTTGGTGCCTCTAACTCAAAGAACAGCATCCCCAGATCCCCAGATACCCATGAATTGATTCTCTATTATACCCTATGGGGACTTGTCTCCATAGGGTATAATGGAGCACCCAGCAGCTATTCCCGTCCTGCTTTCTGATACCCCTAAAGCAGGGGGAAGGGGGTCCAGACCAGGGGATCCCCTTCCCCCAACTGGGGATTCAAAGAAATTAACTGTGTGGCATCAATACCAATTTAAAAAACAATAAATAATAATAAACAAATAATTCATTTATAGACAAATAAACAAACCATTTATACAATTTCCAAATTCTAAGCAAAATTATTCATACAATACACAATTCATAATCAGTGCAAAAATGATTTAACATAAGTCCTGAATATGGCTTACAAAATCCAAAACACTTCAAAGTGCTCAGTCCCTCCTAATGAGCAATATGCTTCACAGTGTAAAGGGGGAAAAGGAGCTTCCAGAAGATATCTACTCCAACAGTTCCAAAAGAGGAACACTTGAATGGTTCCAAAAGAAGAACTATGGGACTACCAGCTTCCTTAATATGCTCCAAGTTTCACCAATATGGCTTTATCAAGTTGAAACCAATAGCTTGAAGGACAACACTGAAAAACAGTCTCGGCGTATTCAGTACAAAAAATATTTTTCAAAGTGGTCTATGCCTTCACAACACTCAGTATTCTCACGGTCCCCAACTGGGGCACAGAGCAAAGGTATAGCATCCAAGCCCAAAACAGGGAAGGATTTCAGACAGGCTATCTATTCCGTTACAGGAACTGGTTACTAACGTTTTTCCCTGTCATTTCAAACAGATCCATTTTAGCAACCAGCTGTTAACAGAATATATTTACCTGTTCATACAATGCCGGTTGTCTCCCATTTGGGAAGCGCGTCTGAGGCGTTGTTGACAAAAACTGCTTTCCTCAGGTCTTCAAACCCTTCTTTCAGATCTGAATCGCTACAGTGGGCTGTGTAAAATGCCCCGTAGCGCTTTCTCCAGTGACGGGTTTTTCATGCCCTTTTCCCCCGATGTGCAATCTCTCCTCTTTTTTTAAAAAAATGTTCTATTGGGAGCGCTATAACGCTATAACAGGATGTCTATAACTCTATAACAGGATGATCTGAATCGCTACAGTGGGCTGTGTAAAATGCCCCGTAGCGCTTTCTCCAGTGACGGGTTTTTCATGCCCTTTTCCCCCGATGTGCAATCTCTCCTCTTTTTTTAAAAAAATGTTCTATTGGGAGCGCTATAACGCTATAACTGGATGTCAAATCAGCAAAATAGCACTCCCAATAAAATGTTTAAAAAAAACCCCAACCTCTCAGGGAGATCGTGTGCAGAGGAAAATGGCAGGAAAATAAAGCAGCACAGTTTGAAATGGCCACAGTGCTTCAGAGACGGCTTCTTACCGGAAGGGAAATGTTGTGTGAAACAGCTGTCCCTGTACCGGTTTCCTCCATGATGGGCTGATAATGGAAACCATATGGTTTAAAAAGGTAATGTGAAGGATAACTCACTTCACAATATTTCAGTGTGATTGCAGACGAGGGTGGGGAAATGAAGCTGGGCATCTGCAACAAGGAAGCCCAAAGCAAGCTAGGTGGAGGCCTTGCTTCCATAGTGTACATAAAGATGCTTAAGTTGGGTTGGCTTCTGTCTTCTTTATTATAAGCTCTGCAAAGCCTTGAACAGCAGTCTGATCCCCACAGGTATTTAACAGCACTCCTGACCCCAGGGTAGTTAGCAGCACTCCTTGATCATGCCCACACACTCTCTCCCTCTTGTCTGTCAGTCGTCAGCCACCTCCCAACTCTGGGTCACCACCTCCTTAAGTGCTCAGTCCAATAACTAGACCCGCCCTTCCTGCCCCAACCCCCACCCTCCAGGCTGTCAACCTCCAGGTAGGCCTGGAGATTTCCTGGAATTACAAGCGATCTCCAGAGTACATTTTTGCCAGAGATGTCCCTGGGTCAGGTGAAAATGCATGTTCTAAAGTTCAGTGCTTCCAAAATTGAAAGGGCTCTGGGGCACTACTTGCCCAGTTGGGGCTATATGTATATTGATGAGTTATGTGTTATATTTCCCCAGTGCTGCAAATACTGCCTCCCCCCACAGTTTCAGATCAGGAAAATGGGAGGGGGCTGAGCCCTCTTCTCCACTCATGGTGGTCCTGATCCAAATTAGGCCCACACATGCCTAGGAAGCACTTTATTTCAGAACAACCTAGGGACATCCTCACATGACCCTTAAACATGCTACAAGTGCTACAAGTTCTATTTCATTAAATCTTTGACCAAATAACAAAACTGCACCTGTATATGTAAATTAAGGAACTAAATGCATCAATATTCTCTTTACAGTCTGTCCTTTCATCTATGAAATAGTACGGTTGCCATTCCCCTGCCATTCCCCTTTCAGAGGCCCCAATCCGCCATGGCCCAGCTGGCCGGGGGGAAGCTCCACCCCGAGAAGCCCCCTTCCTGGCACTGCTGGTGCTGGTGCAATGATGTCACCTGGGAGTGATATCATTGTGTTTCTGATGTTGGGGGCAATGCTCTAGGTTTGGGACAAAACTCTATGGTTTCAAGGCCCAAAAAACCATAATGTTTTGCCCAAAAGCTAGACCGTCACCCCCAATGTCAGAAACGTGATGACATCACTTCAGGGAGAACTACTGGAAGGATTGGGGGTCCCCCTGCCGGCAGCCAGGTAGGACCTGGCAACCCTAATTGCATTTTCTGTGTTTCTTTTGCCTCCTTTTAATTTCTGTGGGCCAACTACACCTCTGAAAAAGAATAAAAATTGTCAAACTATATCTTTGTCAGGTTCCACAGCCAACAACTGAGTACACGCTTATTGGAAAGGTTATACTTTATTGAAGACCTATAGATGCATTAACAAAGGCACTGTTAAGAATGGCGTCGCCCCTACAAGTATAATGAGATATAGGGCATTCGTATGCACCCCCCCTTCCTTAGGCCAATTAACCACATTCCCACGCACGGGAGAAGGAGCCCCAGGCCGTTAGAGCCAAAGCTGAGAACCGAAAGCGTTCCCATGGTTCCCTAGAATCCCAGACACCACACACCACCTGCAAGACCATAGATAAGGGAGCATTACAAAAGCCCAAAAGGAATGCAGCAGTCCTGGCAAGCTAGCACCCCACCCCCACCCCTTATGGTAGCATAGGTGACAATCTTGCTGCTTTATGTGTTACTAGGAATAAGGCCTGTTGTGGAAATAAATACAACAAGATCTAGAAAGAGGCTCAGGGAGAGTGCCCCAGCCTTGGGCACTCAGCGTCAATTTGCTGTGGCAACCTCAGCAGGGTATAATGATACAGAGTCCACCATTTTCTCCAGAGGAACTGATCTCTCCTACCTGAAGAGCACTTGTAATTTTGAGTGATCTCCAGCCCTCCCCTGCAGACTGGCAACAGTGGTTCCCCAGGAGAAAATGGCTGGTTTGGAGGGTGGAGTCTATGGCACTGTACCTGTCTGAGGTCCAACCCCTCCTCCAACCCCACCATCTCCAGGCTCCACCCCTCAAATCTCCAGGAATTTCCCAAGCTGGAGTTGGCAACCCGATCTCCTTCCCAGCTAACCATCAGCCTACCATTATCTGCCCCTCTGACTGCAGCTGACTTCTGCCCTCCCTCCTGGACAGCAGTTGTAAATCTGAGTGATCTTCAGCCCTCACCTGGAGATTGGCAACAATCGTTCCCTAGGAGGGGGTGGCTGGTTTGGAGGGTGGAGTCTATGGTATTGTACCTGTCTGAGGTCCCACCCCTCCTCAAACCTCACCCTCTCCAGGCTCCATTCCTCAAAGTTCCCATCTTGGAGCTGGCAACCCTAGTCAGGACTGGCTCCAATGAGTTCCCCACAAAGGCCTGGAAAGGGCTTCATTCCTTAGTCTTTTTACTGACAGAACCAAGCTTGGTTGCCTAGCAACAGCCACTGAGGGAAAAGTTAGTCCTGCAGGAGCCAAGCAGGAGAAGTGTCTTCGTCAGGAGAGTCAGCCGTTTGGCAGTTATTCTGACAGGGAACAGTGGCTGAAGTGGCAGTGGGCAGGGAAGAGGAGATGTCCCAGCCCCAGCCAATGGCATGCGATTACTCTTGAGTGGCAGTTGATGGGCCAATGGCTGATGGAGTGCACTGCACAGCCAACGGGAGAGCTGGAAATGGCTAATACGTAAGGGAATTATTATATTAAGATTGTGATTAGCCCTGAGTGTAGGAGAGGAAGGATATATATGTTTCAAACATGTGTACAAGAAGGGGACCTTCAAAGACTCCCTGAGGAGGAGTAAACACACACACACACACTGGCCCCTGTTTCGCACTTGGCTTCAGTCCTCCTTCCTCTCACTTATACCTGATTGGACTGTGGCTCCACTTTCTCTCCCTCCCACTGGCCTCTACCTCCACCAACTCTGGCTTCTACTTTCTTCTCCCTTCACCTAATGCTTCTCTTCTTCCTAGTTATGGTGGCTGACACCACCATTTTGGATTGGTAGGACTGCCTAATATGCTGCCCCCAAATACATGTAACTTGTTGTTTTCCATTATCTGTGCTGTTATCATCTGTACTGCTGAGCCCCCCCCCCTTTTAAAACAATTCATATTTTGTAAAATGCAACCTGGGTTGGACTTGTTTTGAGAATTTTTAATCCATGCAGAGGCCCATCCCAAGCTCTTAGATGTAAGGGTATAAAACCTCAATATGCAAGTTTGAACCTCTGACTTGGTGAAGGTTTGAGGGGAAAGTCCCTGATATCTGCTATTATATCACAAGGCTTTCCTCCTGAAAAGTGCCTGCTAAGCCAAACCCAAAGCATACAAAGCAAATGACCCTGTGTCAGAGAGAAGAAAGTATAAGCCATATTGGAAGAATACACAGAGAACATTCAGACATACATTGGCAGAAGGATGCAGGTGCTATACTGACCAACTAGATTGGCAACACCTCCACTCAACACCTTTACTTATTTTGAAACTTCCTTGTATTAAAACAGCCTGAATCAGAGCAGGCTTTAGAGTTTTACTGTGACGTATAATAATAAATCTCTATTTTTCTCTTTTTTTCCTGTTCCATTTTTAGGCAATTTATCCATCATTTTGTTGACTTTCCAAAACCACTGGTAGCCCTGGTAAATGGTCCTGCCATTGGCCTTGCAGCTACTCTTCTTGGGCTGTGTGATATTGTGTATGCTATGGAAAGGGTAAGTCTTGGCTTTTAAATTAGTGGATAGGCTGTTGCAGGGCTTTTACTGAATGCGGAACACAGAATAGAGTCTTCAGCAGTGAGTAATGGCACTGTAGTGAGGTCTTGGGCAGTGATACTTTCTATAAGAGTAAAGATGTTTCAGGTGTAAACATTCAGGTTTTCATTTGTGAAATGTTGAAAGGAATGATGAGAATCAGACAACAATTGCCAGAGTGGAATTCCTTTTGGTAGTTGGATAATTAAATTAATATGTGAGAAATTGAAATTATATACTGATACAGCTTAGTTGTAAACTTTCATGTGAAACATCCTCTTGACAAAACTAAATTTAGAGGGTTTTCCCAGTTACGTCCATTTTATTTGTCTGTACAATGATCATTACCAGAGTTCCTTTTTCTACTGCACACAAATAATTGTAAGATTTTTTAAAATATACAGTGGTGAGAGCCAGTTTGGTGTAGTGGTTAGGAGCGCGGACTCTAAACTGGGGGAACTGGGTTTGATTCCCCACTCCTCCACATGCAGCTGCTGGCATGACCTTGGGTCAGTCAATATATTGGTATAGTGTTGTAATGATAGTTTAAGCATGAAGGAAGGGGATAGAAATTTACTTTTAAAAAATGAAAGCAGGGAATTCAGATAATCTGCTTAAACTATCATTACAACACTTTACCAATATATTGATATGTTAAAGAGGTTTTTTTTAAAATACAGCCACGACACTAATATATTGATATAAGTATGCATAAAAGATAAAAGGGGGGTTGCTGTGATGCCTCTGGTGATGACAGTACCCTCCCTTGAATATCCTCATTATTAATGGCACATGTGGAAGAAAATAAATGGATTCTACAACTGTGAAAATGCAGAGGGAGGGAAGGTTCGGAAGAACTGTTTCCAATCCAGTTCCAGTGCTTGTGGATTGACTGCCAAGAAGAATCAGGAATAAGGCAAGCATGTGATGGACAGTAAATGGTTAATGCTTTAACCCGGTCTGGGAACCTTAAGTGACAGGGGATTCAAATTGAATTCTTCAGTTGAGAGAGTCAGTTAGGAGTGGAAGTTGAGAACTGACAGTTAACAGTGAGAGAGTGAAGCAGACTGGGAGAGGATCAAGAAGGATCCTTAGTTAGGGAAGTGTGAAGCTTAGCCCATCCCTAACAGGTCTGGAAATAGCTCCTAGAAATTGCGGGGGGTGGGGGTGGGAGTGATCCCTAGACAGTGGATAAGGAAGGAAACTGGAACTTGTGTGAATGTTCCTGCCCTCACCAACTTCAGTGTCTATGACCAAGAAGCTTATGCTAGCTAATGTAAGAAAAACTGGCAAGAAATCTCTCTCAAGTTTTAAAGACCTGTCTGTATAATAGAAACAGCTACTTGTTTGTGACAAATTATCTAGTGTTTATTTTTATACGAAGTTAACTCATTCCTGTTACCTGTTCCCCCCATAAATCCTAAACCTGATTCCTACCTGATCATTTCCTCTCAACGTTAAATAAGACAGTTTGTTATTTTTGATTTAACATCACCTTCTCATGTGCCATTACTAAGCCAGGACAAAAAGAAGGATTTTAGTCTGTCCCCTCAGTTCCCTCGAATCGGTCAACATCTAATAATATATATTTAAATGGCTGGGTGGGACAGCCAGAGAAAAACAAGAAAGAAAAAGGGAAAAGGGACTGCTCAGTGAAAAACAAAATAAAGGAAAACCCTGTGAGGGAAGGCAAAATCGCCATATTTGGTGGCAGCATCATGATCTGAAAATAAAAACCAGAACTGTTTTGTCCCAGAATAAACACAAAATAAAATATCTTATAAGTTTGTGAGGAACTTCATATTGAGTTAAAGGGAGCAATTACCTCAGAATTCCTGTCTGAAACAGCACCACCACACAGACTCAGTTTTCTCAGAGCTGTTCTCTCAAGAGAAGTTCTCTCAGAGCTCTGTCAGCCCCACTTACCTCACAGGGTGTCTGTTGTGGGGAGAGGAAGGGAAGGAGATGGCAAGCCACTCTGAGACTCCAAATGAAGGGTGGGGTACTAAGATATTATGAAGGAAGAATGCACAAAAGAAATTAAATTAAAACATTCAATGGATGACTGGAGAAACTCTTAAAATTGCTAAAGATAGATAAGAAGCAAAAGTAAAAGGTGACAGAAATAGAATCAGAAGTAATAAATAAGTAAATAAGTTTATTAAGAACAGTCATAAGACCAGCAAAATGAACCGAAATATGGAATCAGAAGTCTAAATGCAGCGTTCCAGTGACTGGCATGCAGAGACAAAGGCCGAGTTCAGACTGGCAGTTTGGCTCGATATAGGCACGTCTCACAAACGGATTAAAGCGGTCGGTTCACACAGGCACAGCTGTCCAACATTCCCCAGCCGTACTCAACCCGTCTTGTAAGATAGGATCAGAACCACCACAGAACAGTGCCTCCCAGTCCCAGTCCTGAAAGGCAATCCAGAAGGGTACCATAATTGATGGTATCAAAAGCAGCCAAGAGGTCCAGGAGAATTAGCAGGGTTGCACTCCCCCTGACTACCTCCAGGAGCATGTCGTCACCAGGGTGACCAAGGCCATTTCAGTCCCATAACAAGGCCTAAAAAGAGATTGGAATGGATCCAAACAATCCACTTCATTCAGGAATTACTGAAGCTGGCCAGTCACCACCATTCAATCGCCTGACTCAAGTAGGGTTCCTTTGAGACTGGACGGTAGCTATTCAACTCTTCTGGGTCCAGAGTAGGTTTCTTTAGGAACAGATGTACCACTGCCTCCTTCAAGCAACCACCCCCTTCTTGGGAAGACATTTTGTTGTTGTTCAGTCGCACAGTCGAGTCCGACTCTTCACGACCCCATGGACCAGATCACGCCAGGCCTGTCTCCCAAATCCAACCTACCAGTTCCCTCCACCAGCAGATTTAAGCAGCCAGGAGGTGCAAGGGTCGTACAAGCAGGTGGTACATCTCAAACTTGCAGTAATCTTGTCCATATCCTCAGACTTCACAAGCTGAAAGGTATCCCACACAGCTGGACCCTGGGGTCATCTGGCCCTGCAGCTGCTAATGTAGCCTCAAAGTCTGAATGGATGTGAGAGATTTTATCTGCAAAGTGAGTAGCGAAATGATTGCAGCAGGCTGCAGAGCAGTCCACCTTTTCTTGTCAGCCACAACCCAGAAGAGTTTTGCAGGTCTGCACTGTGCAGATGCCATGACCATGGAGTGCCACCATCACTGCCACAGAGTAGGCCTGAAAGTGAGCTCTAGCCTGTGCTTGTTAGAATCCTAGCAAGTCTTTCTCTGCTGTTGCTCTAGTCATTGCCAGTTGCCAGCTTCTGAGCTGCTTGCTGAGTTCACAGTTGCGGGGGTTTTAAAAACATTTTTAGCCCAGGCAAGACCGATCTTGTCAGATCTCGAAAGCTAAGCAGGGTTGACTCTGGCAGGTACTTGGATGGGAAAATTCCTTGGAATACCAGAGGCAGGAGGAAGGGGCAGGCTTTATTCAGCCACCTCTCTGAATATACTCCAGGCCCCCAATGAGGGTCAGTCGCCAGAGGTCACCATGACTTCCAGGTGCACACACATGCACATATGAAAAATACACAAAAATACCACCACCACCCCATTTTTTAGTATTGCCGCTATCATACCATTCTGAATTGCTGCCGTTTCTACTAAGGAGATATTGCTGTGTTATATCTGATGAGGGAGTGATCTTGTGAGGTGTCTCCTGGTGGCATAAGGAGGCTTTGGATCTTCTTGACATCTGGAGACATGAGACAATTCAGCAGTGGAGTGGTGATATGCTGTCAGGGTATCAGCTCAAAAAGGGGAAAAGAAGCTCTGACCTGGATAGCCCAGGCAAGCCCAATTTCATCAGATCAGGGCTGACTCTGGCAAATACTTGGATGGGAGACCTCCAAAGAATACCAGGATTGGGAGGCAGAGGAAGGCTATCAAGCCACTTCTCTGAATATCCTCCATGCCCCAATAGGAGTCATTAAAGGTTGCCATGACTTCCAGGCATGGATACATGCACGCATTCACACACACACACACCCAAAAAGAGAGGGAAAAGGAAGTTGGAGAAAAGAGATTTGGTCTGGGACACATCTTTCATAACTGATATGGCAGCTGTCATTATACAATAAACCTAGTTTTGAATTTAAAATTGCAATGGCTTGCTTCACACAACAATTTTTTCGGTATATTAACAGTGCAATCCTAAACAGATTTACACTCTTCTATTGAAGATAGTCTGAGAGGGTAGCTGTGTTGACCGGCAGTGGAACAGTTAGATTTGAGTTCAGTAGGCACCTTAGCGACCAACTCTTGTTGGACTCAAAGTCAAAAAGTCAACATCTTTTATTACAGTCCATGACCAGAATAATAAAATTAACAATAAAAACAACCAAAATATGAGATATTAACAAATCTTGTCACTAGTACCTGGCAACAAGGTTGAACATTAACTTACAATATTAAAATAAAACGTCCTGTTCTAGTCAGATCAAAGGATATCATGGTACAGTGCTTAATCAGGCCAATGTATGTCTTCTAACATTAACCTCAAATGTAGAAGAAATGCTGCCCAATCCCTGATAAAATAAGTCTGGATTAAGGGGTTTTTTAATTACTTATTTATTTATTTGATTTATACCCCGCCCTCACAATCAGTATTTCCATCTTCATTGCCTGGCAACATCTGAATAGAGCGAAGTTTAATCACTTGAGAGCAAAATGTGGCTACTTGCTGAGTTGTCTCAGTACACACGTCAGACAGAAGCAAATTAATGCTAGCTGAGTCAGAAGTATCTGTAGATCATTGGAGTAATGGGGAAATATATATAGAATGAATACCATTGTAGAAGGGGCAATGAAGGAACACATGCGCTGTCGTCTCTATTGCTCCACTATTGCAGGGGCAGAGTCTTTCTGCCCAAGGGATCCTACAGTATCTGCCCTTGTCGATGGTAAAGTGGAAAATCTGGC